TCATTACCTGCAGTGTTCCCTCAGTGAGGACTGAACTAGACAAAAGGACCTTCTCCTACTCCGCTCCTGTTTCCTGGAATATCTTGTAAAAAGATTTGAAGCTCTCGACCTTTGACCTCTCTAAGTGGCTTTAAGAATCTTTTGGACTCCTGGCAGGGACCAATGCAGACATGTTCCTGTTTTTAGTTTTCTACATTCGCCTTAGAATCTAGCTGTTTTTTTTTTTGTTTTTGTTTTTTTGTTTTGTTACAGTTTCCTTTTAGCCATCCTATTTGTAAAAAAACAAACAAAACAACAACAAAAAAAAAAACCTGTAGTATGACTTTTTATAACTGTTTATTGTTGTTGCTGTTGTCCATTGTTGTCATCTTTCTTTGTTGAAATCAGGTCTCTCTTGTAAATGAGTCCTCGAGGCTCAATGGGATTTACCGTCTAAATAAAGGTTGATTGATATGTTGATTTGAACCATCAGGATTTGAGTCATTTGAATAGATACCTATGTTGATTATTTTTCAAAATATGGTATAGGATAACCCTTTTTATTACTATTACTATTATTTTCCTCACGACTCTTATTGTTATATTATTCAGAGTCAGTCAGAGTCATAGTTTCTTTATTTTTCATTCACATCTCATGTGGTGAAGGCTGCACAGAAGATGTTGGAATCAGTCTCCCCACCATCACAGACATCTACACCTCCAGATGCAGGAAGAGGGCCACCTGCATCATGAAGGACCACACTCACCCAGCACACACACTTTTTGCCCCACTCCCCTCAGGAAGGAGGTTAAGGAGCATTAAGTGTAGAACCACTAGACTGAGGAACAGCTTCTACCCCGAGGCTGTTAGACTCATGAATCTCTAACTAGAATAATCACTGTGAAAAGCCATATCATGTTGCTGCTGATCTGTTTCATGTTGCTGCTGATCTGTTTCAATGTTGATGTGTTCATGCGTGCACATCTGCTCACAGACTCATGTTCATGTTTGTGCTGATGTTCAATGTTTTATGTTATGAGTGCTTAGTGTATATTTAGTTGATGTTTTTCTTAGTTCATATCTTAGATGTTATTACTGTTTTTCTTATACATTTTATTGTTGGATGTAACTGGGACCCTGTGTACATAATTTCACTCTACCACATGTACCACATGAGGTGCGAATGACAATAAAGAAACTCTGACTCTGACTCTCTGACTCTGATGTGGTACATGTGGTGGAACAAGATTAAGTTCACAGGGTCCCAGTTACATCCAACAATAAAATGTAAAAGAAAAACAGTAATAAGATCTAAGATATGAACTAAGAAAAACATCAACTAAATATACACTAAACACTAACAGCATAAAAACAAATACGCAAAATCTGTGTGAGCAGATAAGCACGCATGAACACAGCAACATGAAACAGATCAGCAGCAACATGAAACAGATCAGCAGCAACATGAAACAGATCAGCAGCAACATGAAAAAGATCAGCAGCAACATGAAACAGGTCAGCAGCAACATGAAACAGATCAGCAGCAACATGAAACAGATCAGCAGCAACATGAAACAGGTCAGCAGCAACAGTGAAACAGAAACAGATCAGCAGCAACATTGAAACAGATCAGCAGCAATATGAAACAGATCAGCAGCAACATGAAACAGGTCAGCAGCAACATTGAAACAGATCAGCAGCAACATTGAAACAGATCAGCAGCTACATGAAACAGATCAGCAGCAACATGATATGGTTTTTCACAGTGATTATTCTAGTTAGAGATTCATGAGTCTAACAGCCTCAGGGTAGAAGCTGTTCCTCAGTCTAGTGGTTCTACACAATGCTCCTCAACCTCCTTCCTGAGGGGAGCGGGGCAAAAAGTGTGTGATGGGTGAGTGAGGTCCTTCATGATGCAGGTGATCCTCTTCCTGCATCTGGAGGTGTAGACTTCCGGTAAGACGGCACCCGTGTACATGGCTTGCAATCCACCTCTGCTGATGGGGTTCGAATTATTTTTGTTTTTTTGCATTTCATATCTGTGACATCAACTCTCTCCTGGTGTATGACAGACAACAACTTTGGAATCTTCGTTTTTCTGGCACTGAAGTCGCTTATTTTGAGCATTATCAGCGTACCTCTGGACCCTCCCTCCTCCCCCACTGCTGGCGGACGTGCCAGCTTACCTTCGCTGCGCTCCTCACCTCCCTGCCAGGAGATCTCGCTTCAGACGCCAGGGAAAACGTGCTGGTCAGCTGGTGAAGCTGAAAGCTCTGCGCGCTGCATCTTCCTCTTCAGATGGCGGTCATGGTCTCCAGCTTCCCGCGTGCCTGGACCAGGTAACCAGCGGGAGTTGTCAGCTGTTGCACAGCTCGGACCGACCTGGAGGGGCTATTTTTGAAAACCTGCGGCCATTAGCGCGCGCTAACTTCACCGCTGCTGGCTCCACTTCGAACAATATCTGGATGTGTTTGTTCAACGCAAGATCTGTTACCAACAAAACTTTTATCCTCAGGGATTACTTTCAAGAGCACAATTTGCACTTTCTGTGCATCACAGAGACTTGGATGTCTCCAGTTGAGTCCAGCGCCTTGACGGAATTACTGCCACCGAACTGTCTGTGTTTTAACGCCCCGCGGCCATCAGGCCGGCACGGTGGTGGATTATTAACAATATTCAAATCAACTGTTGACTGTAAACAACTGCCCATCCCAGTTTCCCGTGCCAGCTTTGAGCTGAGCGTCTTTGAACTCGGACATTCACCTGCGACGTTATTTGCACTTGTCTACCGCCCACCTCGATCTAAGGATTTCATAAATGAGTTTTCTGACTTCTTGGCTGAAATCACACCAAAATATGAGCATGTTTTCATTATTGGTGACTTTAATTTGCACGTGTGCTGTCCTGAGAAGCCCTTGGTTAAGGACTTTTTAGATTTATTGGACTCATTTAATTTAACTCAGCATGTAAACGGTCCCACCCAAGAGCGTGGACATACACTGGACCTTGTTTTAACTCATGATGTGACTGTTAGTAATCTTGTTATTGGTGATAATGTTTTTTCAGACCACATGCCAGTCCGGTTTGAGTTCACCCTCACCCATCTAACTCCTAAGTCGTGCATTCCTGCACGTCACACCCGGACCATTAACCACTTCACTGCCGCATGTTTCACAGATATTTATAACTCTGAAATGATCATTCAGCCCCCAGTGTTCTCACCACCACTGAGGAGCTGACATCCCAGTTCAACTCTGTCTGCTTAAAGACTATGGATCATGTTGCACCTGTTAAAACCAAAAAATGAAAACTCAGAGCAGAACCTTGGCTGAGTGGCGTCACCAAGGCCGTTAGGCAGCAATGTAGGAGGGCGGAGCGAAAGTGGAGGAAAGACAGGCTGCAGGTCTCTTTCCAGATACTTAAAGAGAATTGGCGCTGTTATCAGAAAACAGTAAAAGCTGCTAAATCAAAATTCTTCTCTGATATAATTACCTCAAACTCTCACAACCCACGTGTCCTCTTCTCCACCCTAAACTCTATTCTCCACCTCACTGAACCACCACCTCTGGAAGCCTCGACTGAGCTGTGCGACAACTTCCTACATTTCTTTTTTGAAAAAATTGCGACCACCCGGGCTCTCATTTCCCCTCCAACTCATGACCCATCCATCCCACCTCAATCTGTAGCTCCTTTTGACCATTTTGAACCCATCACTCTATCTTCTCTAGAGCAGGTCATGTGCAGCTTGAAACCGTCTGGCTCCCCCTTTGATGTGGTCCCCCCTCGACTACTAAAGGAGGTGTTTCCAACTCTAGGTCTGTCCATTCTTGCCATAGTAAACAGCAGTTTATCCACTGGTGTGGTGCCAAAATCCTTTAAACATGCTGCTGTCCAGCCTCTCCTGAAAAAACCAAACCTTGACCCCTCAGTCGTTTCCAACTTCCGGCCTGTCTCCAAACTCCCATTTGTTTCTAAAGTACTGGAGAAAATAGTCGAGTCCCAGTTGAAGTGCTTCCTGGAGGATCACGCCATCTTAGAACTTTTCCAATCTGGCTTTAAACCTCTCCACAGCACTGAAACTGCCCTGCTGAAGGTCT